AAAAATAAAAGTATGTTACAAATGAGGTAGAAGATCTTGACAGAAAATCACTTGTAAAAGTTAGTGTTCTTCCAAAACATACAGAGTTCCCCCCGCCTTAGATCTAGTATTTTGCCAAATAAAATCATTGGAAAATAATTCAAATCAAAGGTAGTCCACATCACAGGTTTCTTAGTAAGTAAATGTCTGCAAGAACTTATCGAGGTTTGATGATTTGTGGAAAGTTTTATTAATATTTTCTTGAAGATTTTATGACTTGGAAAATGTAACTTTCAAGAACACTTCTTACTGTTTCCATTTGCACTGAAGTTAGTAAATCAAATATACTGTGAAAACATGTTCTGCCTTTGAAAGTCCTATGCATATGTAACTGATTATTTGATATTTAAATATTGCATATATATTTTATTTCGGAAAACTTTGCAAGTTTAGGTAAGAACTTTAATATTTAGGATTTTTACAAAGAAAACTTTTGTGAAAAAAATATTAAAAGTGATTAGACCATTAAAGTACACAAAGAAATTGAAACAATCAAATATGGGTAGTATATAAAAGGGATGAAGAATCTTACAAAGCCTGACATTTAAAAATTTATTAAGAGTAATAAATTGTTTATATGAGAAAGCACCAAGCCATAATTATATTCAAGTCATCAGATATATTACATGAAACTTTCTAGACACAAATGTTTAATAAATACCTGTTTCCAAGTTGTGATTGTGTATATTTTGTTTCAAAATGGTATACATAATGGCTTTTAAGTATTTATCATTGTAGCTCCTAATTTCTACTGTTTCTCAAGGAAGAATTAATTTTATTTTATAAAGTATAGGTATGACCTAACACGTGGCAGTGTTGTTTTATTATATGCAGTTTCCTCTATATAGTTCCAATCACTTTGAATAATCCGTATAATTGACTTTTTACCTTAAAGTGGTCAGAAAAAAATAGCAACTTTATAACTTTAGAAAAAAAAAGAAATGCATAAAAGTGAAATGTTCATTGTTATGGCAAAACTTTTATATTTATAAACCTAAAGTTATTGGTAGAACATTTAATATTTCAAATATTTATAATTGCTTGTTTATGACAAGGACTAGAATATTTGGGATGTGAAACAAAACTGAGAATGAGATATCAAAGGGAATATTTCCCCACTTGAATTTATAATTATCATATATTTTAAGGAAGATACAGGTTTAGAACAAATTAATTTCATGATAGATTTTGAGAGGTTACAAGAAGTTTCTTTTTTGGCACAATCAAAATATTATCATAGCAATTCAGATTGTCAGTAAAAGCTTAAACAAATTTGCTGATAATCCTGTTAATGACCTAGGTCAAGTGTTAACTGTTGTGGGTTATAAAATAGTGAAATTAAGGTTTCTCCTACCTCCAGGCAAATAGCACAGTTATAAGTGTGGTTGGGGGGGGGGTGAGGGCAAGCTTTTAGGAGAACTATTAAATTACAAAAATGTATAATGCATTCATTTATTTAGTCTAGAATGAAAAAGTGCTCTTAAAGCAATGCAAACTTTTTTAAAAAGTCCTATAAAGATGCTAATATAGTTCTCTATTAATATTTCAATTTCAGTATCCTATTTAGTACACTCATATGTATATGAGTATATATACATGAAGTGTATATATATATATATACATGAAGTGGTACCAATTCAAAGATTGTCAAAACAGGAAAAAGCCCACTAAATATATATTGTTTTAAACATTTGCCTACTACCCAAAGGGAAACATATAGTGTTCATCTGTAAGTTTTACCTTAAGTTTTAAATGATCACATAGTCTCCTCAAGTACTTAAAAGATTTATGTTCAAGGAAATGCATCTCAGCCACAAGGAAACAGTGTCTCAGCCACTCTAAAAGAATCTCAAAATAAGTAGTATAAAAATATGTAAGTTTGATTTCATTGTTTATTTTGAAAACTCCGATTTTCAAAGTGATGAGTTCTATGGGTAAATGTTAAATCTGAATTGTGAAAACTTTTGGATAGAAAAATGTATAAAGTAGTAAATACTGATGATTAAGCAGAGCAGTCTGTTTCGGATGGCTTAAAGAGAATACTTTGTCCAATTCTAAAAGAGACTGAACTAATAAGAATCAATGTCTTCACTTTATATTAACTTTTAACTTCTTTCTGAAGTTCTTTCTATTTACCATTGTAATCTATCTGATGGGAATGAGGCGCAAACCTGTTTTCTGACAAAAATTTGACATAACATTCAAATTCTGTGATGAAAAGCAGTTGATTTCCTATTAGAAGCCTTTTCTTATGTGAGCAGAGAAATGAGATTTTTAAAAGTTTATGTAAAGTTCTGTTTCAGGATATAGGCCAATTTTTTATGCAAGTAATCACTGTAATTAGGAAAATCTATTATCATTTTGAAGCCAATAATAGAAAGTATCACCTGAAGTCATTTTCCTTAAATCATAGTACACAGCCATTACATTTGGATTACTAAATGGAAAATTCAGTTATTTTTCTTATCAGGGACTCACAATATTTTGATAGTGATATTAATTACCAAGTTTGAGTTTTAAAAAATTCATAATGATAAAGTTTTTCATCAATCAACACAATGGCCTGATTTTGTTTTTTATTTCTGTTATGCCTGACATCATAATAGATGGAAGAATATATTTTAGCAAATACACACCAGTAAATCTCTAGTCAATTTTCTAATAATGTTGAAATACAATATTTTACATACAAATTTGTACTTTATATTTTAAGTTTCAAAAAATGTATCAGAAAGCTACACTGATACAATTCACTTTATCAATTACTCCCATTAGTAAATTTTAAAAGGTATTGCTTTGTGTTCAAATTACTCTAAGTATTGCATGAAAATTTGGTGTATTCTTTCAACTTATGATTTTCATATTAATCAACTCAACTACTATGAGATAAGCTACTAGATTAGTATTTATTCCTCACTCATAAGGTTGCCTAACTTAAATCATTCATTTAAAATTTGGTTTAAAGCTTCCCTTGATGAGTTTAGAAGGGAAAGGAGACACCCATAGGATGCAGTCACGAAAGAATAAACCCATGAACAATAGATAAACTTTGATCCAAGGAAATTAAATGTAAACGATGTTAGTTGTCTGAGTATATTTCCATTCTTGTTACATATTATTAATGTACACCTGACTGTGTAATCATGCCAGTGTGGTTTAAAAACAATCAACTCTTGATCATTCTTGTTTCATTAAATTAATATTCATTAATTTTACATTGATGTGAATAAGATTAAGGAGTCATTTTTTGCAGTTTACTGAGAAGTTATGTTCTCCACACAACAATGACTCTTAGTTGTATTGTTGTCCATTATTAACTCAGTAGTGTTCTTTATCTACAGAGTTTTTGTCCATTATATTTGAAAAATGTGATTTATTGTAGCAATGTAAGTATTTTAATAGTATTATCTGGTTACTGATGTTGCCTTAATGTGATAAAAAATAAAAAATTAAAACAAAAAAATCAAACTTATTGATATAATTAGCTATTATACAAATAATTATTCTTGCTTTTTATCTATAATGAATATTACAAGTATTTTAAATTTGTTTGTTAAAAAACATATTTGTGTACCAGATGATTTTCTTGATTCTCACATTTCAAAATTTTCAATTTCTTTATTAATGTAGGACAGAGAAATCTACCACAGTGACAAAAGCAATGACTAAGGAAAAAGAAATTAAATTAATAGTAGTGAAAGTGGGTCACCAAATATGAGAAATAGTTTTTGTATTTTGTTAGAACAAAATATCTTTGTTCTAACTTGTGATTCCAAGATAGTGCATACAACGTGCAACAAGATTGGCTCAACCATATAAGCTTTTAGTGAAGGATATATGTCTCAATGTGTTTGTACATCAATTCCTCGGGATTGCTAACTTGCAAAATAAATTAATAAATGTCATAAGTTCAAAATCATTAACAAGAAATCAAAATTGGAAGTGCTTATCTACTGCAATCAATTATTTAGAGAAGTTTGTCTTCAAACTTTGTGATTGTATTCACAAATTATTAAAAATAGGTTGCAGAAGGCATACAGGGTAAAAGCTATTTACTTAAGTACACAATCCCATAAGAAAAAGTATTGTCCTTAATATTCGGTTTGCACAATAATACATAGAAAAACAATGAATGCCCATCACAAGGAAAATAAATAAACCGACACCAAGGAAATGCCATTTGCTGCATATAAACATTCTTTGTTAATTTGCTTTTCAGTTATTTATTACATCTATCCAGGAGTTTTTCATTCATGATGAAATACATGCTCCTCTTTGTATATAAGCCATTAAACAAAAAGAATCCAACTTAAGTTTATTATAAATTCCTGCAAATATTACTTATGTTAATGTAGCATATGCTGCTCATTAGAACCTGTACGATAGAGCACACCATCGCCCGGCAGGATACACATCAATACAGCAGTTGTGAGTGTGTGTGCCCACCCACCCACACACACACACACACACACACACCTTTGCTTCAACAGTTTCCTTTAATCCATTCACAAATGCCATGATCCTAAGTAGGAACAACCTGTCATTATCTTTGAACATATTACAGAATCTAGAAAGAAGGTTTGAATTTTCTTTTAAACTTCTCCGAGTACCACATGGTCATAATTAGAAAATAAAATACTGCCTTGGCTATTTGGCAATTAACATCCTGGGTTGTAAAACTGGAGGATTTTCTTTCTTTCTTCTTCAAATTGGCAAAAAAGGTAATTGCTTGAGTTGGTGTAAGATTAAAAACACACTCTGAAGGCTGTGACAACCCAAAATTATTTCCCAAAGTGTATGAGGAAACAGCGGAAAATAAAAGCACATCTTTGGTTCCCTGAGCGCGCACAGCTTGCTCGCAGGCAGCCGGCGCGGACAGGCTTCGGGGAGAACGCGCTGGCTGTGCGGAGCGCCGGCCGGCCGGGTCAGGACCTGCGCTCCGGTACCGGTACCTGGCTTACCTTCATTGGAAGGCTGCAGACTCAGTTCCCCGCAGCAGCTGAAAAGCGAGTAGCCGAGCAGGAGGAGGATGGAGAGGTGACAATCCATGTTGCTGGTGCAGAGGGCAGTGAGAGGCGCATATCTCCATGAAGCGTGCCACTGATGTGAGGGGGAGCCTTCTGATTGCTGGAGAAGTTACCATGCTCCGCTCGCAGGCTGATGTCAAGTTTGACACTGGAGATAAGGAGGAGTCTGGCTGCCTCTCCGCGGACCTCGCTGGGGACGTCTCCGGGTCCTAGTGCCATCGGAAGCGCGCGGAGAGCAGCGCAGGTCGGCGTGCTGCAGGCGTGTCCGTGCACAGAGCCGCCGCGGAGGTGGGTGGGGTGGGCGTGGGGCCGTCACCAGTGGGGTGGCCAAGGCTGAGGTTGTGGAGGGGCGCAGGCGGGAAGGCGTGGTGAAGGGGGCAAAGCCGCTCTTTCTTCCTTGAGTTGCCATAAAAAGTAGCTATTTTATTGTTATACGGGCTCTGTAGCTTAATTTCCTGAAGAAACCAGAAAGACTGAGAGGGGTGTCATATGGCAGTATGAGTGGAAAAGAAAACGAAATGCCAGAGAAATGTTTGTTATTAAAGGCGGAGGGGGGAGGCATTCATTTAAAAGGGCTTCAAGGATGATTACATATTTGAAAGGAAAATTAGCATTATCCCTCTTCTGTATTTAATGTAATCATAATTCGCTTTGTGGTTCAGAAAGACTTTAATAGACTGAGTACAGCAGAAAGTCCCTTCAGATCTACACGGAAGGATATCAGGCTTTTAAGCAAGTTTGACACAGTGATTTCAGTGCATAGGTTTCAGTACACTTAGGTTTTTCAATCTGGGAAGTGATTTTCATCATCCTAAAGCAGGGAACAATCCTAGCCCGAGCAGTAGCTGTGGGTCAACATTCATTCTTGTCCTGTGCTACAGTTGTAGCATAATTTAAATCTGAAGTTCTGGGCAATACCTGACTCCTCCCCCAACACCTAACATTAGGATGTTGGGGTTCTGTGAGAAGTAATGCGTGATTTATAGCTCCCAGTTCAGCGTTTAAACCAGCTCCCGTCTGGTAACATTTTAATACTGTTCATCTTTAACATTCCAAATCCAATGGCTAACTCATAATGTTCTCGTTCTCTCTCTCTCTCTAACTTTACACTACAGTTATAAATATCCCTGAATCTCTAACTCCCTTGTTGGACTGTAGTATAATTACAATTCATTTCAGTCAAATAACTTTATAATTTAAAGTTTAAGAATAGTTCTCACTTATCTTTAAATATCCCCCAGATATCTTCCCACCAAGTATCTTTTTGTATTCTGAAAAAAGAACAAAATTATTACATTCTTTGCGTAACTCTCAAAACAAAAACTATATTGATGGACTTAACATCAACGATCAATTTTATAGCCCTAGAAAGTAGGGAAAAAATAGAAGTTTGAAAAGGTCCTGATAATAAGATATTCATTTCATGAGCTCTCTGTCTTTCATGAGAGAACAAAACTTTCACCTTAAAAAATGAAAGTTTTCTGATAATGTGTTGTTGCCGCAGCTGATGGAGTGCACAGGGGTAGTGGAAGCCAAGGGGAAGAGTGTGACCCTCTTGATTTTTCTGTGTGCGTCTTATTTGATCTCTAACCTCTTCCCACATTATGTCACCACGGGATATGGAACCCTCAAGTGCCAAGTCTGTCAGAATTAAAATAATGAGATATTGCACAGAGAACATAGATAACAGTGACTCTGTGGTGATGTTTAACACTCCAACATAACAATTACATTATTCTAGGCTTAGAGATGATTTTTCTGGAATTTGGAAAGAAAATCTTATCTGAAGCTGACAATTTAAAAACATTTTGAAAGCACATGCCACTGTGCTTTTCTGAACATGCATTCCCCCCCACCCCAATTACTTTTCTTCTCATACTTAAAAATGGCTTGTGACTTACTGGGAAGAGGCATTCATGTTTCAGGAAAGCTACAAGGACAATTGAGTAAGAAGCAATACCCAGCCTGGAATGCAGTGTGCACAATTACAAGATCTCTTAATCACTGGCCTTCCTAACCCTAGAGATATGAGGCAGTAAATGCTCCCATAGTCTCAACACCATTCAGACAGAGGTTAAACAATGATGACAACAAAGAGAAGAATGATTAATCTGGCCATAGTAGGAGTGAGAAGATACAAATTAGGAGAGTAGATTCTCATCAAGAAAGTGTTCTTTGATTGCGACTTGAAGGATGGGTAAAATTTACTAATTAAATAATAGTTCTGAAGACCCTGCAGTCAGGAAAATTGAACATTAAACAATCAAAGTAGTGTCTAGATCAAGGCAAAAAAAAAAAAAAAAAAAAAAAAAGCACCTGACATTCCTGAAGCTTAGAGTATTTGTGATACTGAAATCTAGAGGATTGGAAGAGGTGATAGAAGTGGATGGATGAGTGGAGACAGACTGTGCAGGAAATGTTCTTCAGAGGACAGGTAGAAAATTGGGCCAATATCTCTGCCATACATCAATTCTTTTACAATATAAAATATCAAAACCATTAAATGGGCAATAAATAAATAATATCTGAGTTTTGTCAATGGCATAAAACATTTTGTCTATAGCTGCCTTAGTTACTTTTCTCACAAATTAAGGAAGGAAAGATTTATTCAGCTCACAGTATGTGGAGGTTTCAGTCCATAATCATCTGTTTCCAAGATAGAGTAGAATGGCTGAGGGCAACTGTTCAAGGATGCGGGAGACAGCTAAGGCAACAAGAGCAAGACTGAGAAGGCCAGCTGCTTTCCTCCCTTACCTTGGTGAGCACACTAGCTCCTCCTAGGGTGGGTATAGCACTCACACCGTCTCTGTGACCTCCTCTTTGACCTCCTCTTGAACGATATGAGGATGTTTACAAAGTATGAAGATCTTGGCCTCCTGTTGAGTTACTTGTTAAACTTCTGAAGTTGACACAATGTATCAACCATGACAACAGCATAAAACAGTGTCTCCAATTGTGGAATCATATGCAGACTGTCTGATATTGAAGTATCCGTATTTTTTATTAAAAATGATGTCCTCTTTCCTTCCATAAAAATAATGAATATGACCCTCTGAGATTGGATCTCCGCAATCTGTAACTGGGGCAGACTTTCAGATGATCTTAGTGGTCCTGTTTTGAGAATGTTTTCTGAGTGGGAAGGAGAAAAACTTAGAGGTAGTATTGGGACATAACCCAGTTTAGGAGTTAAAAGGTAGCTTGCTGGAGGAGATAGCAGTTGAATGGAATCTAGAAAGTTGAGTTTTAAAGTGTTCAGAAAAGAGAAATTAAATATGGAAAACAAAGTTCATAGAGACAATGACGTGCTCTATAGTTACAGCTGAGATGTGAAATTGATGACAGGAGGATGGGAAAGAGGCAGGAGTAAAGAGAAACAAAGTTACATGAACTCTTCTTAGGAGCATGAACTGTGGAGTGATGTGGGCAGGAAAGTAATAACGTAATTTGCACCTGCTTTTGCTTGTGTCTAGATGTACTTGAAAAGTATCATGTGGTTATAAGTAGGGCTTTTCAGGGGTGGCTGGATCTAAGGTGTGTAGTACTAGAATTAAGGTTTTGTGATCATTAAATCTGTCTCCTGATTTGTTTGGCATAGCTCTGAGTGTGGATATGGAGGGGCCCACCCTAAGTGTGAGTGCTAGCTGATGTAAAGCCATATAGCCTGCATGGAATGAAAGGGACGGGAAGGGGGCTGCTGTGATTGCTTGTTGTTTGATGCTTCTTCACTACTTGGATGCTTTGCTGCCTTCTGCTTGCCATGAACTATTTCTCCTCTGTGATGCCCCACTGCACGCTCCTCTGCCCCAGAGCCAGCTGGCTGTGAACCGAAACTTCTACAAACAGAGCTAAATACACCTTTCCTCTTTTAACTTTTGGTGTTGGCTGTTTTGTCTCAGCAACAAGAAAAGTAACAAAGACAACACCTAAAAAATAATTTCATCATATATAAGGGGAAAAAGGGGGGAAATGGGAATAAAAATAAAAGCACCACCGAGCATTTAGCTCAGTGGCATAGGCGTCTCCCTGACAAGGTCACACGTTCCATCCCTAGGACAAAATAAAAATAAAATAATAAAATAATAAATAAAACAAAAGCACCAATGATGAGCAAACAAAACAATTATTGCCACTTAGCAGTAGATAACAAATGTTTTTCAGAGGTTACCAGTGGAGCTGTTCAGTGAGACCAATTTAGGTGATTGACCTGGCTCTATTGTCCTCAGAGAAATTTGGATAACAGATCCTATCTCTTAGGAATGTTGTAAGGATTGTGTAAAATTTGAGATGGTACAGATGAACTGTTAGCCTAGATGTGTCTGGCACATTAAAAGCACGCAATACAATTTTTAAAAAAAATGTGTGATCTATGCATGGGAGTGGTCTAGACTCTCTTATTTAGCAAAAACAGTAGAATCATAAGCCACAGAAACATTAGTGAAACAATTAAAAATTAATAATAGGTTTATTGTGAGAAACAAGATATATAGAAGTGTCTAGAAGGCCTTTCAAATCCTGACATGAGTGACAAGGTAGTCAGGTGCACCAGAGACTTGAGAGAAATTTCTATTGGGTGAAAATATTTCTGTGTTACAAATCTTTAGTTGGAATGACCTGAGAAACAGCCAAGGGTAAATGATCTATTAGACAAAGACTTTGCCTGCTATTATTCATTTGGAAGTCATTAGGATGTGAAAATAAAAATAAAATACATTCATGTAGTAAGGTGTTGGCGAGAAGATTGACTGGTCAAGGATAAAACCCTAACTGTCAGCAATATTTAAAAGGCACACAGAAAACAGTGTAGAACTAGAAGAAATTAGCTTATAAGAAGCCAAGCTCAAAGGTTTTCACAAAAGATTCTTTGCAAAGATTGACGAATGCAATCTACATTCAATAAATCTAATGACTCCTTAACTGAAAAATAACGAGCAGGTTTGGTGACTTTCTAGAGGCCTTTTCTGAATGTGCTGCCTCTACTCTATGCTTCCTCCTGGCACTGTGGTTAAATTATTTTTCTCCCCTGTTGATGGACATCACTTTTTCATGTCTGTTGCAGATGCTTTTAAGACCATGTAAACTTCTTAACTTCTTATTGTGTGGTGTCACTTGGCCAAAGGACAGACCCTATATTCTCAGGTTGGGTATTATTTTTTTATTCATTTTGACTCTCCTGTAACTTTCTTCATATAAGAATACCTTCTCAGTGAAGTTTTATTTTTTGTTCTCCTTTATTCTTCACATTTAAAAAATTCCTACATTTTATTTTTAATTGAAACACAATAGTTCTT